GGGGCGGGGCGGCCACTGCTGAGGAGGCACACAACCAGCCGCGCCTCTAACACACCTTTACAATTAGCAGGGCTTTTACCTCGCGGGCGAGCGGCCGTGTTCGTGTTTCGCGTGTGTGGGAGAGAGAGAGAGAGAGAGAACGCCACATCAATACGCAACGCTGTGGGGTAAAGTACTGTAAAAGGGTAGTGCGGCGGTGGTGGGTGGGAGCAGGATGGAGATAGGACGCGGAGGTGGCGGTCGGGTCTGCGGCGCGCAGAATAAGTGATGTACACAGGACAAAAGAATAGTGCCGTAACATTAAATAATGCAGGGCATGGTAGAGTCGGAGATGTGGGACTGGGGGAGAATGGTGCAAAACGAAAATAAGACGACTGGATTTAGGGAGACCAAATGAGGGGTGCAGACGAAAATACTTTGGTGTGTTAATCAATCTAATTATTGGTGTTCAGTCTGCACCTCAGTCTTAACCTTAAGACTTTTTGACGTGCTGGCTGAGCCCTTAGACGCTCCAACCAAACGCATTGTTCTCTACAACAGAGCAACGTCCCCCGGTTATACCTCAGGGGGCAGACGGGTGGAGCTGCAAGTAGTAGTATTGTAGTTTGGGTACTCCGTGGGTGAGGAGGGCGGGCTGTCCACCAGCAGCACCGACCCACACAAAAGCTCGCTGCTGTATCGCCACCCTTCCCCCGGGCCTGTTTTGTAGTGTTTGCTCCCCGCGAAGATTACACCCCGCTTTTCCGGTGCCATTCGTGAGAGGGGGTGGGGAGAGAGGCCCACGCTGGTGTGGCACAGCACACGGCTTCTCGCCTGCATCTCGCTAACTAAATGACGATGTGGAGCACAGCAGTATTCCTCGCTCTCTCATTCTCATTCTCTTACTCTCTCTCTCTTTCTCTCTCGACTGCGCGACTGTATGCGAGAGAGAGAGAGAGAGAGAGAGAGAGAGAGAGAGAGAGAGAGAGAGAGGAGAGAGACGAAAAGCACAGGCCCAGGCCCACCCGGAACGCTCGCTACTGCTGCTGCTTGCGGTATTGCCTTTTTAATACCACCGAAGCC